AGGCAGAGGGTCGTCCTCTGCAATACCTCAGCACCGCCGCCACGCCGCCGCCCCAGTTCCGCGCTGGAGCTGAGGCCTCGCACACTCGACACGCCGATGCCCACCAGCGCCGAGGCTCGGGTGGCACCGAGCCGGGTCCCCACCCCATCACCCGGCCCCACGAGCCGGGCAGGGCGCAGCGCTCTGCCGGCACCCCCAGCGCTGCTGCACCAGGGAAAGGAAGACGTGGTGCCCAGGCCCTGCAGCTGGGTGGGCGAGGGCCCCCTGGACCCCCCGGACCCTCACGCCTGCCTGCGCCGGCTCCGTCCCTGCTGGGCTGTGGGGCCGGGGCGCTGGGGGTCCCTCCGGCGCATCCGACCGCCGGTGCTTGCCGCGGCTCCTCTGGGACTCGCTCACTCGGTGTGTGAGGACAGTTGGGACTCACTTGGCTGCTGCCGCTTGGCTTTGTTTCTCTTTTTTTTTATTTGGTTTTTTGTTTGTTTGGGTTTTTTTTCTTTTTTTCTTTTTTTTTTTTTGATGCTTTGCTTTTAGTTTTTATATTTTGGGGTTCTTTTTTTTTTTTGTGTGTGTGTGTGGATATTTTTGCCCTTCCTGGTCCCAGAAGGAAACAGCCACGGGTTCACTACAACAGAAACAAGAGAAGCAGGTCTTTCGCTGGAGCACTCAGGTCGAGCTGCTGGCCAGGGGCATGCAGGCACCATCCTGGCCCACCAAGCCCACCAGCCATCCCAGCCTATCACACTGAGCTCCACAGCCATCCCAGCCCATCACACTGAGCTCCACAGCCATCCCAGCCTGTCACACTCTGCAGAGCAGCACAGTCAGGTGGAGAAGTGCTCCTGCCTGGTGGGCTGCCCCAGGACCCTGAATCCAGCCCAGCCTTGTCAGTCCCCACAGCTGGCAGCAACCCCAGCTGGCTCCTCTCTCTCCTACGGGGGCAGAGGGGCTGCTCGGGGGGCTGCTGCCACCCCGAGCCCCAGCGCCTGTGGAGTGAGCATCCCTGCAGGCTGAGCACCCCCGCCTGCCTGCGGGGGGAAGAGCTCTCTGCCAGGGCAGGGCAGGGGGGGACCCCAGACCCCGGCTGTGGGAACGGGGCGCTGCTGGGGCTGAGGGCTGCCCCCACACCCCGCGGTCCCTGGGGCGGGCGGCAGGACGGAGCGGCTGAGGTAACCCTATGGGTGTGGGGAGCTGTGGCCCCACAGAGCCCGGCGCCAGCCCCAGCCACCCGGGCAGCACCCGCGGGTCCTCCGCAGGCTCGGCCTCGGCTCTGTCTGCCTGCTTTGGTTTGGTGCTAGTGAGCATCGGGGGCAGTGGTGGGGGGGCTGGGTCTGTCTTGCTAGTAGGGAGTGAAGCGGCTGTACCCTCCTCGGTATAGACTAGCCTGCAACATCAAAGATGAAAAAAAAGCCAATCAGTATTCAGAGATAGCCAAAGCCTAGATCTTCCCTTTTTTCTTTTCTTCTTTTTTTTTTTTTTTTTTTTTTTTTTTTTTCCTTTTTTTTCCTCCTCTTTCAAATGACACCAAATCGCTGTTGTCCTTGGGATGTGAGTGAGGGGCAGGCAGGGCCAGGGTGCTGCCCGGGCTCTGTGGTGGCCATGGGCAGGGGCAGGGGCTGCCAGACGCCTCCGAAGTGGCCCTGCTGTGCCATGCCTGCCGAGGAGCTGCCCCGTCCCTGCTGTGGCACTGAGCTGAAAACCCCTAGGATGTTGTGCCCGTGGCCCCTCGCTAGCAGCTGCCCAGGGCTGGGGGTGCCAAAGGAGTAAAAAAAAGGCAGAAAAAGGCAGGTTGGCTTTGTGATCCCAGCCGTGAGTGTAATTTTTCATCTTTGATGCTGTCAGAGCTGGCCAAGAGCTGTGGCGTGCGAGGGGCTGCAGTGCCCCCCAGGTGCAGCCGCACACGGGGCCCTGGGGACACTGTCCTGCACTGGGATGGCAGAGGGGGTCCTGGAAGGTGACCAGGCAGCCGGCAGGGGGGCAGCCAGGCCCCTGAGAAGTGGCGTGCGTGGGCTGGACTGTGCGGGGTGTGAGGGGAAGGTGGGGCAGGGGTGCAGGGTGGGGGTTTCCTCTCCTGCAGACAGAGCCAGGCAGGGGCTGCGCCGTTCCCACTCCCCTCCCACGGCCCCCACACCCGCTCTGCGCCCCACAGGCCCTGTGGCCGCTGTGCCAGACCCCTCCCCTGGGCTGTCTGCAGCCCCCCGGGAAGCTGAGGAAGGCCGAGGGGCTGCTCTTACCATGGTGCCAATGCTGTAGGTGGCGGCGGGGCCGATGGTGTGGTGGTAGGGGTCTGCTGCTGCGTACACTCTGCCATAGCTAGGAGCAAACAGCGGTGGGTGTTAGTGACAGCAGCTGGGCTCCTGCCTCCCCTTGGAGCCCTCCCTCCCTCCCAGCTGCACCTG